ATTTTTCTGGTTTCTGCACATGCAAGGCAAAGGCTGAGTTTCGCTGTGCTTCAGTTAAAAGAAAAGCAGTGTTTCCCAAAGATGTAATTCTTGTGCATCGTTCTTGATCAGTCAAGGATTATATCATGGGCAAATATGCCTATTTGTATTCAGAGGCTGCAGAGTCTGGATGTGCCTTATCTGTTTCCCTTCCACAATTATGTCATTCCCTGCCTCAAATTCCTCTCTTCCCCAGGCACCACCCTGATGCACAACCTCAGGAAAGTAGGACATACTTAATGATCTTGCAGGCCCACATGAAAACTGTCTTCACTATGGGTTTTCCAGCTCAGTTGACTGCCTGCTCTCTGCAAACTTCTAGACCACGAGCGTTATTTGCTTTCCTGTTGTCAGAGTCACTGTCACACTGGCGTGTCTTTGATGAAGGGCCGTGGCCAGCACCTCTTCAGCACCCAGTCCCATTAAGGAGGCTTTCTTCATCCTGAATTTCTTCATCCGCTGCTAATCATTCAGAATCTGCATCATGAAGTTCCACCTTCTGTTGTGTTTTTCAGGCCCAGAAACATTATGCCATGGTGTGAAGTTACTGTTGTTCTCCCCTGAAAAAAATACATTTTTCACAGCACCTATCACCATTTCAGAAGGAACTGCTTAAATTCCACATATATGAAACRCATGTAAACCAGAAATGTAAGAGATTCTGCCAGGATCCATGCTCATGGCAGGAGGAAAAAAATGCAAAGTACAGATTTAAAAAAATGTATTTTACAAAACCTCATGCAATTGAGAACTGGGAGAATCTGGTTTGAAATTCTCAATAACGAAAAAAGAATTGCACAGAAAAAAAAATGSAATGCAATGCAAGTTACTGCTGTGTACCTAGGGCTGCCTCCCCACATTTTCTGTGACTACACCCAGTACAACTGCAAATAGTGAAGTCGGGTTGTGTCAGGSTAAGCAGCTACGTATGCAGGTACCCTGTTATTGCCAGGGTGTCAGCCGCTGTTGGCTAACAACATACTTGCCAGCATAGTCACACCTTTGTCCTTGGATTGCCAGTCACTCTCCACCGGCTTGAAATCTGGAGAACTTTCCCCCGTGTATACATCAATGATGCAGTCAACTAAATTTAGGAGATATGAATCCTAGGGCTGATTCTGTAAATATGGAACAGAGTTTGRTAGCAACGTTCATCAGTCTTGCAGTCCCTAAAACCAAAAGGCGTCCTTTTATGCACCTGTCTCGTGCAGCATCCATGCAACAAAATGGTTATTCCGTGTACTTTTATTTATTATAGTATGGACGGTAGTGTCCCTTAAAACTTGTCTAATGCAACTGTGGCTGTACAGGCAGCCCTGCAATTCTTATCTCGCACTTTGCTCCAAACTGGCCACATAACCTCAGCAGCTCCCTGACACCTACTCTTGCAAAGTTATAAACTTCACAAGAGCCTTTCACAAGAGGCTATTGAAGTGACAAAAAGCTGTTTGTGGTATTACTCCTACTTGTTGAATAGCAGAAAACACCAAACAGTAGAAACACTTTCGAATGACGTTTGAGACTTTTACCTGTTTTGGAAAACTGGGTGGAGTCACATTGAACTCCAAATAAATGCCAGAAAAAAAAGCAAGTGACCATTTCTTGGAAGAAAAGAAGTTTAAACTCTGTCCTGGTGGGCCTGTAGAACAAGCAGACCCTTTGGTCTACCTAGAAAATGTAAGGAATCCTGTTCTAAATTATACTGGTGATTCATTCCCTAGACATACCTGCTCTTCTACATTGACCACCAAGGGAAGCCCTAAGTGACAGCCTTCATCATCAACATCCCTAGTGCATATGTAACTTATGTAAGTTAGATGAGATGAATCTCTCTAATTGTGTCTAGAAATGTCTTCAGACATATTAAAATGTCTTCAGACATTTCTTAGCAAAAATGAACCACTTTCCAAAGATCTGAAAYACATGTCCTTAAACAAAAGAAAAAAAAAAAACTTGACTTTAAAATTCTTTGAAAATATGGATGAAATTATGAATCTTTTCATGTGTCGCTTTATCACAGAGGAATTGAGCATCTTAAAACTGCCAACAGAGTAGATGCACATAGAGATAATCCAAGACACAGGAAAGAGGAAGAAATTTGGGAGAACTTAGTGAGTCCATATAAAGAACATTTTCTCATTTTCTGTCTAAAATTCATTATGGGAAATTTTTCAAACTGAAACACATCCTATCCTTGGCTAGAAAATTAAACTTATAAACCAGCAAAACCTTCTCACTCTAGCAGTCATAGGAAATGAGGTAGTATTAGCAGGACTTACATTATTTTCCTGACATAAACAGATTTGGATACAAAAGAAGATAAAGAAGTTCTTAGATAATCTGTCTAAATCTTGCCATTTTCCTTTTCAAACTAGAAATTGAAGAGAATGTCTGGATTAACTTCTTACGCTAACCCACAGAAAAGGAACCTAAGGTAACGTTTGTACATGACACTTTATAATTGGCAGAATTAATCTTAAACTATTAACCTCTTCTGTCTCCACATATGTCAGAAGACTATGAGTTGATAAATTAAATTTGGTCCTCTCCCATTATTTACATATGTCATTCTTAGTGAAAGGGAGAAGTTTCCTTTTCTGGGGCAAGTTTGGCTAAAGGGTATCCGAATTAGGAGAGTTCTTCACACTAAACATAGTTCTGAAACATGAATTAAATGAGAGAAGACAGAGAGGGAGGAAAGATAATATATATCTTTTTCATGCTCATGGATAATTCTTTTATCTGTTGCATTAATTAGGTTTAAAAGAAAAATATTCTGAAATATTCTGAAAAAAGAAGTTATGATTAAACTGACACTTTTGCTTAAGAGGTGCCTTTTTCCATAGCCAGACAGTACAGAGTCTATTGTGAGACACTAAATGAATTCACTACTAAGAGTTACTCTATACGTAGATAAATGACAAAGAGATCCCTGAATGTGCAGTTACCAAAAATTATAAAAGATTTCTAGCTATAAGCCCTCTACCACATCCTACAACAGGTCTTTCTGCKGCACAAATGCAACCGAAGACAGTCACACACTTAAGACTTCAACTAGTATTTTGAAAACATACAGGRAGAAGTACTATTAAATTGATGGAGAAATACATATGTAAAGCAAGCTCACCAAGTACACTATAGATTAATGAGAACCACTGATATACAGCAAGAAAAAAAAAAGTGCAATCGTGAAGAACAAATATTTTCTGCCTAYGTCTTGTTCAATTTTATGATCAGCTCCAGTTACACACAATTCTACAGAAAAGCTTTGCCTCCCCTTCTCCAAAATGGATAGATTGTTTTGGTGTCATCCGAAAACAGGCTACCATGATTTATCCCAGAGCAACTTTCAGAAATGAGTCATGACCTTTGTTTAAAGGTTTTATTTTTGAAATGCTGACACAAGCTCAGCTGCAGCATTGTCAACAGGGAGTGCTGCTACAGAGAGACTTAAATGACACTGTCCCRGAGACTAAATAGGTTATTTCAATTGTAAATCAGTTCATTATACATTAAATCTGCTATGCGAATAAGTTACACGTGAATTCTGTTTCTCTCTGGTAAAAGAAACAGCTTTTTCATGAAATATACGGAATAAATGAGGTAGTATAGAGCCATTTTATTTTTATCATATCAATATTTGTCAGTGTTTTAATTTAAGATGTATATTTTCTGCTTATGTGAGAGCTTCATGTTTTCTCTTGGCCTCAGTTTCAGAGTTTTTAGATTTCAAATGTACATATTGACAAATGCCCCAGAGGTCAAATCCCAGCTTACTAATGTCTGAAATCTCATTATTTTTGTACAAGTCTCATTAGTTTAAGACCTAACTGATGATTTTTTATGCTTAGGCTTATTAAAACTGACAATAATATAACCAGTGTAAAGCTCTTTTTTATATAAATAAGTAGTTATAAACAACATAAGCAATTACAAGTAATATAAAGACTATTTTCATTACTTCTATGACTAATGTGATGGGATTTTCCCTGCAGAAGGTTGCTTACAAGTCGGTCACAAGCAGATGTCTTTGCAGAAGCAAGGAGTGTAAAGAGGAGACACCTTCGCTCCCTTCACTTGGTTCCGTTACCAAAAAAAAGAGTATTTTACATCCAATGGAACAACAACTTTGTTGCACTGAGTAAATAAAAATAAATTTTAAAAGTCCATTCCACACATTCCACCCTCCACATGGGTGACTTTCTATCCAACCTGGATTGGTTCCTTCAAGTAAGTTTTCTATAGAGTCCAGTTAGTGTTTGTAAAACAGGGATCTTTGTCTTAGCATTTTTTTGCTTGAGAAACCGTTCACTCGTTTTCCCTTTCAACTATTGCACCTTCCTCGGTTGAGCAGCAGTCAGAATATGATGGACTCAGGTATGGACTCTAGCAGACTGAAGGGAGGGAAGTTTAGAAACTTAAGAGATCTCTTGTATGTTGAATCAGTATTTAATTACATATCAATACAAAATATTAGAGAACATTTAACTAGGCTACTTATTTTTTGCGATGTTTCTCTTATTATGGGGGGGTCAATGATGTGCCCCTCACCTCTGTAAGGGGCAGGGGAGTAGAACAGATACAACCCAAATTCCTACCATAAAAATAAGCAAAATAAAATCTTTTTAAAAAGGAAGGAAGGAAGGAAGGAAGGAAGGAAGGAAGGAAGGAAGGAAGGAAGGAAGGAAGGAAGGAAGGAAGGAAGGAAGGAAGGAAGGAANGAAGGAAGGAAGGAAGGAAGGAAGGAAGGAAGGAAGGAAGGAAGGAAGGAAGGAAGGAAGGAAGGAAGGAAGGAAGGAAGGAAGGAAGGAAGGAATAGGAGCAAAGGACACAGTCCATTTTCCTGGCTGCAACCCCTCATTGAAGGTCACCTGAGCAGAATGTACCCTGATAACAGGTGACAGCAATAACACTGTAAATTCCCTTCCTCCCAGAGAGGCTCAGAGAAATTTGCTTTTTCTTGGTCTGTCCTGAATGCTACAATATTGGTACTTGAACAACTTCATAGATTTGTGCACCGCTGCAGACCTCCAATTAGTTTAAAAGTTAAACATATGACTGCTTGCTGGAACAAGACCTTTGGGCACAGATTGCCTTTAGGCTGGAAGGTTAGCAGAGAAAGCTCAAGTTTTGCCAGTGCAGAGATTTGTAAGTCCTCTGGTGACCAAAGGCTTTGCTTCCACATGTTAATGGAAGATGGGAGTCATAAGGTAAGCTGCACCATTTAGTAACTGAATCTTGGACATTTGGGGGAACAGAAATACTAATATACTAATTTTCCTACGCTGTAGTGGTAACTGAAAATCAACATCGCTCCAAAGATACTACTGATACCTTAGGTAAGACTGAGGGAGCTTTAAGTGAGCCTTTTTATTTTCAGTGATATGACTGCAAAATATCTCAAGCAACAGTTTCTATGTGCTGTTTAATTATCCAAACATAAGGACTGAGGTGAGTTTTCAGAACCCTGAAAAATAGCASAAGTAAGAAGCTGGATAACCCAGGTCTCTTTCTTCAGCCCCTCTTTGAAGATATCCTAGAACCAGGTTAAATTACAGCTGAACAAGAAATATATAATAATCTAATTAAATAATGTATAGTATATTATTTATAGTATTGCATATGGTATATTATTTATATAATGTACACTATACTATATAAATAAGAAGTGAGATAAAAAATAACTACTAAAAGTATTTATGAGCAATCATCATAGATAAAGGATAAACATGTTTGTTATAGTCCTTGCACTGTGAAACACATTTATAAATGCATTTAGTACATTATATTAATTAAGCAGAAGTATATGAAAATGGGTGCAGTCATTGCCAAAATAATAGGTGTTGACACTAATGACAGAAAAGAGGGCTACCACAGATGAAAAAAACTTCTTTGGTCAAAATTAATTTTGGAAAAGATGSTAAAGGCTTCTACTGTAATAGTCAATTATATCCTGAATTTCTAGAAGATGAGCTTTGATGAATTAAGAGACCTCACTACTGAAGTCAGCTGGGCTGAGAAGTGCAAATGATGAGGATAATGGAATTATTTTAAATGAAGGAGATAAAAGTAAGCAGACTGTGTGTCTCAAGAAAGTGGGAGAAATTTTACAGAAAGGCTTCAAGGCTAGTTGAATAAATAACCATAGCAGAAATCAAAACATTTACAAAATGGAAAAGAGGACTAAACACAAAGGAAATGTTATCTGAAAGGGAAGGACGAAGTGAGAATTGCCAAAAGTCCAGCTGAGTTCGACTTTGAAAAAGATACGAAAAGCAAACAACAAAAACCTTCTTCATGCCCGTAAATAAAAGAGAATAAAGAAAGGACTGTGGCTGCGATGGAGTAAGGACTGGGCAGAGATGGAAGATAATCCTGGCGCAAGATAAACTGTGTTCTGCTGTCAATAGGAAACAMATACTTTAGCTCAGTTTCTAACGAGGACGCTGACAGGGAATGTGAGAGCAAAGAGAGTTTAGCTAAATGCCAGAATGTACGGAAATTGATGGTKAACTGGAAAACAAACAAAAAAGTAGATGCAAAACTTTATTATTAAAATAAATAAATATATTTWTTTAAGGCACTCTCTTCAAGAAAGAGCCTGCCTCATCGCCACCCCACTGCTGAAAAGAACTGGGACATAATGTCCCAGGTTTAGCAAAGGATCCCAAACCACCTAAAGGCTGGTTAACACCAACACCAATGTGGTCCATTATTATAATATCTAGGCCTCTAGAACATACATAAACTAAAATCAGGTACAATTCAGGCCAAAACAGAAATTCTTAGCCTTTTTATTTCATTTACCCTTTCAAATTGTGATTGATTGATGATTCTATTTACTGTTTAATATTTAAACTAAACTTTGGGTGCTTTCTGTAGTTTAATGCTTTTAGTAAGACATGATATTTCATAACACTCTGTGAGYATTACTATTCGATATATATGGGATTTTTATAAGGTTTATTTAATCATCAAAGGCTGTCTTTTTTGGGGAGGTTGTCAGAAATTGCCATTTGTCAGTAGCTGCATAATAGTACTACTAGAAATATCGGTTAAATCTGAACTAACTGCAGAGGAAAAGATAATGGCATCCTGAAAAGGATCTCACAGGGGACAGTTCTATTTATTTTTCTTATTTAACTTAGAAATATATTTGTGGGTTGTAGACAAATTCATTTAAGTAGGAAATAACCATACAAACCACTTGCAATCACTATTTTGAGCTAATGGTAGCTCGAGTTACTGAAAAATTGTTGCTGCTTGTTGCTGTAATAAARCAATCCAAAATTTCTGCCGTGTATGAACGCCCAGATTTGCTGAGCAATTCTGTGCCATGACTTTTGGCTCGCTGAGAAGTGAAGCTGGCTGGGATCACTCTCCCCTCCGTAAGCAGAAATCTGAGAAGCGGGGCAAGAAAGTCAAAGAGGGAATRGAAGAGCAGGCCAGGTTGGCACTGTGAGAGATGAAACGTCTTTTCTGCCTTAAAAACAAGGGGAAATGTCTTGAAAGTCATGCATTTTCTGTGCGTACAACTGCCTCTGTAGCAACATGGGTTTATTTTTCTTTTCTTTTTGCAGCCACCGTGGAAAGGACTGAGCAGGACAGCAGAAATGCCCCTCCTCACAGTCCATGGCAGTTTCTGCTGCTCGTTGGTCACACGCAGGGATTGCACCGAGTTAGCGTAACGTAACCTTTACATAAATATTAACAATGAATGTTCCCCTTCTCAGCAACGAGCGGGATCTTTGCTGCCCATTGGCTGGCAAACGYGCCTTTATTCCATATTTGAATCTTATTTACTCTGGCAAAGCCTCTCATGTATGTTGGCAGCTCGGTATGACTTGGCTGCCACAGCTCATTGCTGCAGCTCGAAATAGCTGCTCCAAGCGAGGAAACCTCTGGACAAGGAGYATCCTCCGGGGAGGCATTTCAAGCTCCTGTAGCCTCTTGGTGTTACTAGGAGAGCGTGAAGGGACTGGGTAAGGGTGCAGAACTCATCGTCGCCCTTTCCTTACAGTAAAACAATCATGTTACTCATCTCGCTCTCTGGGATTGGTTATTTGTTCACACCCAGCTCGTCCTAGTCAAGAACATGCATAGGAGCAAAGAGTTCTTCGTGCTAATTTTGGTTGCTCTGTGGCTCAGTAATCACAATGTAGAACAGTTTTTTACTAAAGACAAAATCCTCTCGTGCATGGGACAGCGTATCTGGCCAGATAGAGCYTCTTGCACCATCAGATTACTACAGAGGAACTACATAATAAACAATTTTTGGCCCTGTGCCTCACTATCATACGATGATCTCTGGTCTTCCTGCCTTGTTAGCCTCTCCATATCAAATGTTGGACTAATTTTATTACATGAAATTGAAAGTGGTCCTGGCTTCATGCAACTCCCTGGACATCTATTTTCAAAACGAYGAGTCCTTCAGCTCCAGTTCTAGCCCTTATCTCTGGCTAATCTCTGCTGTAAACATGAATTCAGCTGCCATCTTTGCAACAATGACTCACAGGACTCCCTCTAATCCACAACAATCTCTTTCTGTCCTTTGGAAACTTCAGCCTCTGTCTCTCTGACAATACTTTGTTCATGTGTAGTTGTCAGTCAAGCTCAGAAAGTGCTTCCAGCTTCTCCTGCATCCCTCTCTTCCACCCATTTGTCTTCATCCTTGAGCAATCTCTCTTGATGGCCATCAGCTTTAATATGAATCTCTTTTCAATCGTTCATACTCATTCCCAGTTGTATGTTCTTACCTTGCTACTTCTCTATCACGCTGAACAAACTGCTCGATGTTGTTTTCAAATGCTGTCCTTGTTTCATCTCCTTCAGTGTTGAGATCATTTTGCTCYTCAGAGGAGCAGATCATAGCAGGCTGTGCAGTCATTTGCTAAACCTTCAAACTAGTACCTCACAATGTTCCTTATGTTGTCCCTCATACTTCCTAGAAATAATAATTCCTGGAAATACTAATTGAATTATTCATTTTTTTAATATCAGCCTCTTATGCAAGGTCTTAAAGCTATTCATGGTGCAATTGGTTTGTCTTCAAATCAAGAGACATCACTCAGGGCTAACACATCAGGCCCAGACGGGACTAGGAGTAGAGGTTGGCACCATATGGGTGGAAGCTGAAGTTCTGAGCAGGAAAAAACAAGGGAATCCCCAGTTAAAGAGGGCAAGCAGGAGCCTGGCCAGACTTGAGGACACTCGGGCATCTGCAGTGCAGGGCCAAGGCAGGTGGTGAGACCGCAGGCCCAGATCAGGAGGTCACCGACTCCCTGTGAGACAGCATCCAGGAGCAGACGGAGTCGCATCTCATCCATGTCGTGGCCGGAGCRGTGTCATGCAGGCTGCCAGCAAACAGAAGGCAGGAGGTAAGACCAAGCACCCTGACTGAAAACCGGGGTATAACAAGATTAGGAACCAATATTATGAATCCAGATGCAAGCATGCGGAACTAAAAGTAAACGGGGAATATGGCTGGGAGGGTCCCCAAGCTCTCAAGGGTGCCTTTATAGGCACTTTCAGCCTGATTAACCCATCACGGCTATGGAAACAAGTGGTCCTGCTCTCCCTGTCGATAATTTCGTGTGCGTGCCCAAGCACAACTGCTTATTTTTGCCAGCACAGGCTCTTATGCAGCTGGGATGTGAACTGGCTTGGGAAACCTGTGCAAGGTAAAGCTGATCATGATTAAAAACTATTAACCATGATTAAAACCAAGTAGTTAAAATTAACTCTGATGCAGTTCACTACCCAGCCAGACAAGTGCTCACGCTGGCGCAAAGCAGGAGGCAGAAATGAAAGSCTGGGAGAAAGCAAGGAGGACCTTGCCTCTTTTCGGTAGTAACAAGTTACACGGAGCTAATGACACCAAGCGAAACCGTGGGCTGTTTCCCTGGCAGCTCGGGAGCTGTGCTAGGGGTGCAGGCGGCCGGTGGCACGCTGCCAAGGGAATGAATCACATCCAGCTGCCTGGGGAATGACTCACGGTGCTCAGTGAGTCACGGTCCCGTTCCCGGAGCTCGTGGGGCTGCTCCTGGTGGCTGGAGCCCCTGCTGTCCGGTCCGGCTTCCCTGGCCTGGTGGGAGCTGGTCGCTCTGCGCCAGGCCGTGCCTGTCCACACCGTGCAAGTGCCTGGGGGCAGGCGCTGCTATTTGGCCTGCGCTTAGTTCCTAGCAAGGGTTTCCTTGGGYAACGCGCCCAAAACTCACGGAAAAGAAAAGGGTTTTTCTTTTTTTCTAAAAAGAAAAAAGGGCTCTAAAACTATTTGGCTTGCACCAGGCTCTTATGAGGAAGGAGAAATGCGAAAAGCTGCCTTGCCCCGGGCAGAGGTGCCCGCTYGCTACCCGCACACGTGTGCGCAGCCTTCCTCTTCCTGCGGCCCTCGTCCCCGGGAGACCCTCTCCCTCCGTCCCTCTGGCCTCGTGCTCCGTCTGCCAGCGCAGGAGCTCCATGGGCTCCCGTGTGCCTATATGGAGGGGCACATGCTCCTCTGTGTGGATGAACGGCTGCTTGCCTCTGGACCACGTGCGTGGACGGGATAGCGAGCTCCTCCATGGGACGAGGGGGGCTCGGTTATCTTTGGGAGCCCAATCAAGTCTCCCCACTATTAGTTAAGACTACATATTAAAAAAATACTAAAAAGAAAGGGAAAAGGAAGAAAAAGAGGAAGAAGAAGCAGAGGAGCAGAGGCAAAGACGCTATTGCAGCTTAGGCTCAAAAAAATGGTTTTATTTTCGGATTTGCTCCCCCTCTGTGCACGGTTGCTCCGGCGTTTTCTTCCCGCCTCTCCTCCTGGCCCGGTTCTGCCCTGCTGTCCCCTCAGCCCCCACGCTCGCTCGCTGCCTCCCGCCGTATCCCGATCCCGGAGCCCCGGCTCGCGCTCCAGCTCCGCCACCCGCGCGCGCTCTGGGCGGGCTGCAGTGGGTAGGGCCGGAGGAACCGGCATATCCCCTGACGGGCGTCAGCGTCCTCCAATGAGACGCGGAAGGAGGCGGGCTCAAGCGGCGGCGGCCCAATGGGAGGGCGCGGATCGCCATCGCCGGCTGCCGGYGCTATAAAAGCGGCTGCGTGCGCTGTCGCCCCTCGCTTACACAGTATGGCCGGCGACATTAGCTAGCGCTCGCTCAACGCTCTTCTCTGTAACAGGGGAACACACGGACTACAAGGAACCGAACCGAACCGCATCGCCTGCCCGCCCGCACCCTCGCTCGGACTGTAACCCTCTCACACACGCTCACGCTGCACCCGCCGCCACGCACTCCGCGTGGTTTTCGCTGGTTTTTTTCCTTTAATTCCTCCTTTTTTTTCTTATTTTTTTAAATTAATACTAAGAAAAAAAAAATCCTTCAGAAGGTGAAACCCGCCCGGGACGGACTGGGACCCGGCGGCGGCAGCGCGGCCCGTGCAGCAGCAGCAGACGGTAGCGGCCGGGGGCGGTAGTTTGGTTGTCGTTAATTTCTGTGGTTGTTGGTTGCCGAGTTGTCTCACCATGAAGGAAAACGGTGCACACTTCTTCGAAGGGACCGAGAAGCTGTTGGAGGTGTGGTTCGCCCGGCAGCAGCCCGCGCAGCAGGAGCCGCACCAGAGCAAGGGCTCCGGCGACCTACGCACCATACCCAGGTCCGGGAACGGCCGGCGGGGCGGTGGGGGCAAAGGGAGCAGCCGTTAACGGCCGCGGGGCGGGGGGAGCAGCCGTTAACGGCCGGCGGGGCGGTGGGGGCAGAAGGGAGCAGCCGTTAACGGCCGGCGGGGCGGTGGGGGCAGAAGGGAGCAGCCGTTAACGGCCGGCGGGGCGGTGGGGGCAGAAGGGAGCAGCCGTTAACGGCCGCGGAGCGGTGGGGGGAGCAGCCGTTAACGGCCGCGGGGCGGTGGGGGCCGGGGGGAGCGGCCGTTAACGGCTGCTGGTGAATGGCCGGCGCACGCGGGGCCGGGCGTGGTGGCGGGGGGGCGGCCGCCGGGTAATGGCCGCGCGCGGGCTGGTTCCGGGCGGGCTCCGGCGGTTGGTGGTAACGGGCGCGCGCGCGAGCGAGCGAGGCGGGCCCGGCCCGCGCCGGGGCCGCCCTTTTTCTCGCCGGGGCCTCCGTGACAGCCCCTGTGCCGCGCGGCGCGGGAGGGATGACCTTCCCCTGCCCTCCGCGGGCCCCGGGGCCGGCCACGGAGGCGGCCGCCGTCCCTCTTGGCCTCCCTCACGTGCGGCGCGGCGGCGGAGGGCGCTGCGCGGAGGCCATTCCGCGTGCGGCGGTGCCGGCTCGCAACATGTGGCGGCGGGAGGCGGCGCGGGGAGTGTCGTAGCGGCGCCCTCTTCTCTGCGCCGAGCCCCGCGGGCTCGCTGCGGCCCCGGGCCGGCGTCTCGTGGCGCCGCGAGCCGCGCGGGGCCTTTCACGGCAAGCAGGGCTGCCGCTTCCCGCCGGCCTAGGGAGGAGGAACGTGAGGGAGCTGCAGGGAGAAGCGGCTCGGAAAACCCCGGCCCTCGGGCGACCGGCTACCGTTTAGGGCAGGCGGTGTGTGGGAGGTGGGGGGGGAAAGGGACCCTATTCCCGGTTCGTGGATGCGATCCTGCCCTTTCCTGTCGGGCTGAGGATTGATGGTTCCCTCCGGCGGCGCGTAGCCGAACAGGTTCCCGCGGGGGAGGCCCCTGGGACATGGGGGAGTCCTTTGCCCGCCGGCGGCGGCGCGGTGGCACGGGAGGGAGGCGAGCGACGGGGGAAAGGCCCCCTCCTCCCGCAGCGTGTGGCTGGAGCGGCGCTTTCCACGTGAGGCTCCTGGCTGCGCTCCCAGCTCGCGCTGCCTCCTTTTTTTTCCTCCCATTGAGAAGCCGAGGCCAATGAGCGGCGGGCGCCGCGAGGGGGAGGGCCGCGCCTGGCCCCCAATGGGTATCTGAAGAATGTGCTGGCGCCTCTTTCGCTACCACCCAGGCAGGGGGAAAGGCCCGAGGCCCGCGGAGCTGCGAGCGCACACGTGTCCCTAGCTCTGTCCTCTGTGCGAGAGAGCGGGAGCTTCCTCCTCCTGCGGCCGCTTCGTCTTTGCGCGCACTGTGTGCCAGTGACCTGCCGGGGCATGTATTGGCCATGCCCACCATGCATTTAAAAGATGGAAGATGCGTGGGGTTTTATTTTTTWTWTTTTTTTTTTATTATCACTTGCTGTAATGGCACAGTAGTACTGTTTGCTTTGGAGGGAGACAGGCAGCTGGCTGGATGAATAAATTGTGAAAATGTAAATCGTCTTGACTTGCAAAAGGGAGCTCAAATGTAGATCTGCATAAAATGATGCTCTAGTACAGATGCCCTAGAAGGGCCGGGAGTGTCAGGGTTGAGAGAGAACAGGGAAGGTTGCTGCATACTTGAAAGATGAAACAGTCTGCTTGGGAGCTGTGTGTAAATTGTGTAAATTTGTAAGGAGGATGAGATTGCTATGTGGATTTAATAGATATATTGTGATGTATTTAATAGGTGTAGGTGTAGGAGAAGGTAGACCTACCAAGACATAAAAGGCAAATTTGAAGAGTATACCTATGTTGTCATTATTTTGAGTACAATTGTACAAGTCTTCATGTTCAAATAGCACCTGGAATTTGGTGTTTGAGTATATTCAAATTTTCCTGTGTATACCAGTGTTCTCTGGTCAGAGTAAAGCAGCTGTATTCTGAGGGGTTGGCTCTCTGCAAAGGCAACATGGAGGGGACATGYAATGTGTAGTAATGATAGCGGTTTCACTTAACAACATGCTTATCAAAATAAAGTAACATGCCGTTTCTCAGCAGATTTTCTATGTGTGTATCAAAATTGAGATCTTTGGGTATCTAACCCTATCAAGTGGGCGGATAATTTTCCTTTCTTGAAACAATGAATATCCCCTGTTGAGGAAAGCACTTGCAAAGGACTGGAGCACATGTAAGACTAGCTCACACGTGGGTGAAGCTGCGTTTCTGCAATGCTAGAAGCGCTGCAGAACATGTTTAGCTCAGAGCTACTCTTGTCATGAAGTAGCTTGCTCATAACTTTGTGAATCATGAAGCTTCCTAGACCTATTTGATGAGAGTACTTGGAAATGGTCAGATGTGATAATACATTTCACTGATATCCAGTGGTTTGGGAGATACCACAAGGCAAGAACTTGCTTGGTTATTGGCCAGGCCATCCTGTAAGAGCGATTGCTGCTGAAATGGTATGTAGGCTGTTGAGGATTCCTGTCGTGTGACTTGCTTAAAGGAGGATTCCAAAAATGTTTATTTGACTTGGCATTCATATATTTGTGTTTGAGTACACAGAACTTCTAGTTTGGCGTTTGTATTCTGCAGATGCTTTCCTAGATGACACGTTCATGCGCTGGTGCTGTGCTTGTTACCTTAGACTCATATTTATAAAACATCAAATTAATTTTCAAACTAGTTAATAGCATTTAATGGAATTGTAAGGCAGGTACTGCTGCAAGTTCCATTACAAGGCTTAGATATGACTGTAAAAGTTTTAATGAGGTAGATGCAAACTGTTAACCATTAAACATGGGGTCTTTAACACGTTTTCAGAGCTGTGAGCAAGCTTTGAAGGCCTTAGTGTTAATTGAGTCTTAATACAAAACTTTAATTGGAGATGCTTAATTTCAGTGGAAGGGTCTGAAAAGTCTGAAAGCTGTTATTAACCTGTAAGTTCTTCAGAAACATGGTGGTATTTCTCTTGGTAACAAATGAAATTTTCTGAACATTCTTTCAGAAAACGAGATGCCAGAGCTAAACTATTGTTGCCACTACAGCAGGATAAATGAGAACTGAGATTATCTTCTTTGTTTTGAGCTTTACAAATGCAATATATTCTACTATGCTTATTGCATAAAGGCAGTTGAATAAGCTAGTTTATGTTGAACGGAATTTAAAATCAAAGCTGAAACTGCAGAACAGCAGCGAATTTAAAGTCAAGTTGCAAACCAGTTGAGCTTGCCTTTTGTAATACCTGCTTAGTAGTGAAATGCTAGCCATTCATCTGCTGAATGACTAAGCTGATGTTCAGAACTAAAACTTTCCATGTTGCATGTGCTTTGCTAGGGATTAGGTATTTTAAAGTCTCTTAAAATAACCCTGGTTACTTGGGGAAAAAACTTCCAGGTATTGGACTTGACTCCTTGCAACTATTGCCAAGTAGTCTTGAAAATTATTTGGATAGTGTTTCAAAAGATTGATGTATTTTGTGCTGGGACCTTTAGTGAAGGTGTTAAGAACACAGACACTGCTTAGCTGGTGAGATTTGAGCTCTTTGTTCATTTATTAAACAGTTCTGCAAAAGGTCYTGCAGTTGAAATAGCAGCAAGTGTCTGAAGATGCCTATTCTACTCATTTTTCAAAGTGGAAATACCTTTTTTTTTTTTTTTTTTTTGTGGCCTTAAAATCATTAGCTTTAACTCACATGTAAATCATGTTTGCTTAAAAATAGCTTMAAGTGTTAAAGGGGAGTGGGGGGTTGCTGAAAATACTTTTTCTTTCTTTGTGTGCAGAGAAAATGTGACCTTATACAAGTATATTTACAACTTTAGATCATATAGTAATGGTTTCAGCTTCCTCCAGACATATGGTTGAGATAGTTTTAAGTAATGTGTCTTTGCACTTTTTTGCCTATTTACTGTAAAACTGCAGAATATTGTTTAAATACTCTTTTAAACAAGTTCCAGAACTTTTTAACTAGTATTTGTAAAGATACTGCTTGCTTGAGGTGACTCATATAGAGATACAGAGATTAATTTACTGACTGAGGGGATTCCTTTATGAATATTTTTTGATACTTAAATAGGCAGATACAAATGTGTAGTGGTATTCTCAAATGGAAACCAGGTTTTCTGTAGGTTTATGGTCTGTTAACTAGGTCATATTTTAGTTTTCATTATTGATCAGTCTCTAATTTAGTTGCCCTCTTTGGTAACAGATTCTGAATAACCCCGACTTGCGAAAAGCTGTTGATCAGAATAAACAATGATTTTAAATTCTCAGCTTGAGACTCCCACACTTGCTCTAAGTGAAAGTCAACACACTTGAAATATCATACTACTACTTTCTGAACAGAAAGGTGAGTGATTAGAAAAGCAGATTCGTAAGTTTGTCTCAAGAGAATAAATATGGAGATTCCTCGGCTTAATGCCTAAGGATAGATAATTGCTTTTCAGATTGTCATGTTTGACATCACCTGATTACTAATGTACATTTGAAGTCAAGAATCAGTTAAGCTTGTTTCCGGTTGCTGAGATGTCTCCAGCTTCGGAAGCAAACTCAAATGAGGTATGGAATAACTTTATTTAATCTGCAGGTGGAATATTGTCAGTATCTCCACTAGCCCGGATCACTTCCACAGATGTTTCCAAACCTCCTGAGAGCTTGTTCTGCCTTAAGATGAAACCTAATACTTAATACTTTCAGAAGCAACAGTATTATTTGCCCAACCTGCTAAGACTTTCCTCCTCCTTAAAATGAAATCAAACCTAGAAAATGTCTACTTGAACAGAACCTTTCCAATCCGTTTTCATGATGTAAKAAACATAACATTGAATTTATTCATTAAATCTGGTCTGTTTTTTTTATGGATTGTCTACATGTAACTTGATGCCTTAGCGCGCGTGCGCTCTCGCTCTCTCTCTCTCTCGTTGAACTAAAATACCTCCGAAGTCACTTCCACTAGTGACTAGTTTGTGCAGTTGMTTTTCCCTCAGTAAAATAAGCTTACATTGTTCCTTCAGCTGACGCTATGACTATGCATTTGCAATGTTAAGACTTAAGCTGACCTTCAAGGTGCAGAAGTACAGGCTAATGATTCCAGAATTTATGAGCCTACCAGCTTGTTCAAGAATTTGTATTGAAAGATGCTCTTAAAATATAAGTTTGTCTTTTAATTTGCTTCCTATTTATGTACTTTGTGTGAACCTATAATGAGAGAACGAGAACAGTACAGTAATGCTCAATATGGAAAGACACCAATAGGGCATTATCTGCCTTTGCTGGTTTAAAACTAGGCACTGGTRCAGTCAGATCTGATACAAGTCCTGGAAATAGTTGACTTGTTCTGCACTGTATGGCCTGAGTCAGCACTTGGTGTATCTTCTCCCGTCTCTCACCCCTCGTCCCTGTCTCCTGCTCTTGAAGCTGAAGCAGTGTTAACTGCATATTTTCTCACACAATGAAGGTAGGAGGCCACGAGCCATGTTCTACTCTCATGCCTGTGATTTTTTTCAGGCCAAAGCCATGGGTAGAGCTGCTGCCTGGGACTTGAAAGGGGAGTGGGAAGCATTGTGCCAGGATAAGGGCTTCTGTCATGCTGTACTTGACAGAGATTTTATGTGGAGATGAAAATCTGGAATGCCTCAATTTATATGCAAGAACTAAAATGTTCCCCCTACCAAAACTYTCTCTTAGAAATAAGAATACTGCAAAGAAGCTCAAAACTAGTTGAATATCAACCTGTGTGCTTGTAACACTCGATTGTAATTTTCATTATTTCCTTAACTCTGCTACTTAAAGGTCAAGAGGTAAAAATGCTTTTTGAAGATAAGGTTTAGTACTTCAGTGTCTGCCAGATTATTGTGGTTTTCAAGGTTTTTATAGCCTAGTGCAAAAGTAGATGAAACTCGAATGACAGGTGTACAAAATCTTTGAATGCAACATGTAATGCCTTAACTTGCCCTAATGTTTCTGAGCCCTAATGTTCCCCAAAGGGCTCGTGTTTCCTTAAATGCTTTGGGTGTCAGGTATGTTTTGTCTTTTGATAAAAGAATAAGACTTAAAGAGTGTCCCTTTTTTGGTCAGGCACCAAGGATGTGTGTACTGTGCTCTGTACACCGATCTGTACAGTATAATRATGCAATTACAACAAAGTTAAATGGACCTGTCTGTGCCTGGACCTGTCATTATTTCATTGTTGAAGTAATTGGGTGYCACAGTGTGTGGAGGAAGGATTCACTTTAGCAGGGGACTCTTAATTTTCCTTGTAGGTAAACTTCTTTACAGGAAGTACTGCTTGGAATCATTTCTGTGAATGGGGTTTTTCTATTCAGGTGTTTTTTTTATAATTCAAGGCTGTATGTATATCCCTGGAGATTCCGTAGGTTTGAGATAAGGCAAATGCAGATAGTCCTTCTGTATGTTTATGCTCAGAGTACGTAGGGTGTATAGTCCTTGTGCATTCTACAGATACTGCTGAAGTCAAATTATCCAGCTGCCAATGTGTTGTCTAAACTGTGTGTGAATGTAATGCAAGACAACTTGATTACAACAGTCTTGTTGCCTGTCTTTACATAAAGCTATGCATAAGTCTTTTTTAATAGTTGTTTGATCTCTTCAGTTTCTAGTGTCTCATTCTTGGTTGGACTAGCATGTCACTAGCCTTTTTATGGTTCTGTTTTCTGTGCTGCTTCTAGGTCTTCTGCAACTGCAGATTTCAGCCCTATACCTAATTGCCATCTGTAATAATAAGTATAGCTAGAGCCTTTTTGTTTAGTAGCCTTTGACTTAACATGCCATGCTGTAGTGCAAGTAATATGCTGTATTCATCCTCACTGCTGGACTAACTGAACACCAAAATTGCTACCTCTTGTTCTAATAAGTTTCATGACAAGCTTAGACTGAGACATCTAGTTCTGCAGTAMAATAATGCTTGTGTGGACGATTTTCCTGAAGTGCTGGGGTTTCCACTATCTGGCCAGATAAGAAACCTGTAAAGAGTAGATACTGCATGTGCTTTTACAGTGCCTGAGATGGTTATAATTGGTTCATTTTGTTCTTGTTACAGGAGAAGTGCAAAATCAGTAGTAATAAACAAATGGCCTACTGAAACTTAGCATTTGGTAATATAAGGGAACTGTGCCTCGGCTTTAAGAAATGCTTTATAAAAACACAGGATAGTTCTTTAATGTCAGACTACTCTAAGTAGCGATRTTAGGAAATGAGTTACTCCATATCGAACACAATTAACGTGTTACCTAGTTTTCATCAGAAGAGGAATCTAATATAACATGAAAGGAAAAATCCAGGGGCTGGCAAATTTTTGCAGTTGTGCTGTAGTTTCCAGAGAAAACTCATGTCCTTCTTCTGTCCCCTTATCACCAAAATGCCTACCTGACTAGGAGTACTTAATGAAAGCATTTTAGAATTTCATACTGTCTGTTTCTCTGGAAAATCCTGATAAACATGAAAGGATATCTGAAAGGATACTTTGAGAAAAGTATTTCATCAGGGTTCAATGATTGAGCTGATACGGAGAAACTCGTTTGCTTTTTAGTACCCAGATGTACCGTTCAGAGTTTATAGAAATCTGTTCAGTTGTACTCCTAGTTATGAGGGATTTTAAGGTGCATAGGATTATTAAGCAAGCTTTTTTCCAATGGCTTCTCTCCTATAAAGGGAAGCTATGCAGTAAATATAATTTCAACACCATTTTTGCAGTGATGTTTCACTTTTGTCAACTGACAGTTTTCTAAGGCGAGAGACATTTAAGTTCCAGAGAAATCCTGTGGACAGGATTAACACCGAATGCTGTGGCCTGAAGTACAACTGCAGAGCTGGGGTGGTGTGAATAAAGGCAGGACTGATCCCTCAGAAAGGATTAGGCTGAAACTTAAATGGGGAGCTGGGCCGGTTTAATAACTTGGTGCTGGGAAAATAGAACTGTTGTCATTATTTCCTAGCTGTAAAATCCTCTGCCTTTATCAGGGTACATGTGAGATTCAGGACTTAGTCTTGCATTTAGAAGCTTGTTTCTTGAYGTGTGTATTTGTGACACTTTGTACCAGTGGATTTTGAGAATGTAAATATTTGAGAAATGCCATTGAGAGCTAGAAATTGAATAATGCATTGAGTGGCAGTTCCTGTATGAAATCTTCAGGTAGTTTCAGAAGAATTCTCAAACTTGAGCGCATGAAAGGGGAGGGCAAGGGCTGTAAACCTGCCTGGACTATACTTTTAACCTGTTCTGCAGAAAGATTATATTCTCTTAACCTGTCATTTATTTCAAAGCAACTTAAAGTAGGAGCAAGAGTTTTAAGGAAAAATAAATCTAAAAACCCAATTTGCAAAACATTAAAATGCTTTTTCTATATGTAGAATTTATAGTATGTAGCTTACAATTAGCACGCAGAAGGTGAATTTAGTTTACATTGTGATAGGAGGCAGGTACCTCCTCATTCTGTACCATAAGTTAGAAAATTACACTGTAGATTCATTCAGTAAAGAAATGGGGTGACTTAAAGGGAAGTGCTGATTGTTTAAGTTTTCACTTTCATTTACATTCTCAAATCTTATTTACAGAATTGAGTGGGACAAACTTCTGGAGAATGTGCATTGTTTGATCATAAGTGTGACAAAAACTGACAAACAGGAAGCTTATGTACTCAGGTAAGTCGCTAGCTTAATCTTTTAGTCTTCAGTAARTAAAATAGCTGAACTGATAATATGAGATCCATTTGGCTGAAAATCTTGGATTATGGAGATCCTGCTCTGTCAAAATGACTGCAGCTTGCAAGGTCTGATAATTACAGTGCTCTCACAGTGTTCACTAACAGAAATGTCTTCGTAGTTGCCAATGGTTGCCCTTAATTAAAAGATTAAGGGCAGGACTGTAGTGTTTTTGTATYGGATACATAAGACCTATTAACAGATTGTTGGATTTTTGCCTTGTGGTAACTTTCCCTGATTAAAAGGTTATTAAAAAATACTATTAATCCACCAGAATAGTGCATGGAAGTGTCATTAAGTATCATTTTAGACCAGCAAAGACTATACAGATGCAGCTTTGATGCAGCTCTGAATATTATAATCAGATGGAGCAACTTTGAGCTGAGGACATCTGTAAATATAGTTTTCCAGAGACCTTGGATTCTGTTGTCTCATTCTGCAGAGTTCATCAAACAGCTTTAACTATATATTTTTTTGGGGGGGGGGACTGTTCCTGACCATCTTTTTTTCCCCTATGTGAACTTTACAGAGACATAGGCATTCTCTGCTTTATTTCATATTAAAAAAAAAAAAAAACTTGTCTATTTTGTGTGTCTGAAAGCTTTTGATGGCAAACTTGAAGTAGAAGCAAGCTAGTGAAAYTGCTGAATTCTGTTTACCCTCAGCTTCATATTTTTAAACATAACTGAAATGTAACTAGTTAACTATGTAGTAAATTAGATGACCTTTCCCTTTTTAAACAGCATTCCAAACAGCATTAATACCTGAGGTAGACTGTCCTTCCCATTGCTCAATCACTTAGTGAGAAAACTTCAGTATGTGTGCAAGTCTTCTGCATACAGTATTAACTACAGTCCCACTGAATTGAAGATCAATATTTAAATATCTAATGCATAAACTCTAATGCATAAGGGTATGTTATATTGCTGTAGTCCTCCTAGTGAGATTTCCTGTTCCTATGGAGGGGTGCTGATTTACCACTTTGCAGTGGTCAGCTTGCCCGGAAGATGCAGCCAGCCCATTCTGTACAGCTCTGAGACCTTAGCGGGATGGGGAGAGGGAAGCTGATACTTATCAGCTTTTTTAGCTGAGCAAGTTGTCGTGCTTAAGACCATGTTCTGCAGTGAAGAAAATCAGGGGCTTGTCTGTATTGCATACCTGCTTAATGACATTTTTGTTTCTAGACTAGTTTGAGGTAATATAAAGCATGCAGTCCCTCTTTCCTGTGCTGTATCGCACTTGCAGCTAGAGCAGCTATTTTATCCTCTGAACGGTGGAGATTTGTTCTGCTGTCTCACTAGCTTAGACTTCATTCCATACACAGAAGAGAGGAGAAAGCTGCTTTAACTGTAGGGTAGTAGAGTATGGAAAGCTCTTTCTTAAGCCAAAGATAATTTTGTAATGAATGCAGTGTACTACCAGTATTGCCTGAAACATACTGAAAATGTGTGCAAAGTGTCTGTTGAAACAGCTTTCCTTGACAACTACTGCTAAACTTCTGTCAACACTGATGTAAAGTCTGAAGTTAGTTTATTTTAAGCTGTTTCCATTGATTTGTATGTGTGTACTTCATTCAAGGGCAGTGTCAGCAGGCTAAACCACAACTGTACAGCTGCGGCTGAAACTTGTGTTGAGCCAGGGCCACATTCTCGCCTTAGAGTTGTGTTAAATTTTGCATCGTTGCTGATAGACCCCTGAGTATAAGGCCAGAAGCCTTAGGTGAATTGTCTGAGCTAAAACTGGTTAGAGGTAAATGTCAGGCATGTGTTGAAATGAAGTTCAAAAGTGCCAAGTATCATAGTCTTAAAAAGAGATCAGAGCGACACTTGACAATGTTGGCTGGAACTTATTGATCTGATAGGCACTTTTTGCAAGTGCACGTGTTATAATTTGAATGCTCATTTAAAATAATAAATTTGACTGGGATTAGAACTAAGATCTTACCGTTCTTTCCTAACTTGCTTTATAGAGGACACATCTCACTGTTCTCACTTTTTTTTTTTCCTTTAATAGTGAGAGTAGCATGTTTGTCTCCAAGAGACGTTTCATTTTGAAGACGTGTGGTACCACCCTCTTACTGCAAGCACTGGTTCCCCTGTTGGAGCTTGCTAGGGAGTACAGTGGGTTTGACTCAATTCAGGTAAGGTACTAAAAATGTCACATCTTCCTTAAATACACAGAATAYTTTATTAGTGTTTTGAATTCACTCATCTAATTCTGAGGCTTCCTTTGTTTATGGTTTCTGTAAGAAGTTGTGTATAAGATCGTTTGCTCTGCCACAGAGTGTAGCTTTCTGTTTGCCTCTTAAAAGATGCTGATTTACAAATGTGACTCTGCTGAATAAGGCTACTTAAGGGCAGATTTCCATCTGCCCAGGTTGTCAGTCTGAAGTTAATGGAGTAGTCCTGTGGAAAACAAACATCTGCAGCTTACAAATTAAGCTAGGTTTAGCAATATGACTCTGAAATGGAAGATAAATTACAGGGATCAGTGTTCTTAGAGTGAAAAAATGTCCTGTGAAAGCTTCAGGAAAGAGCTAGAAGATATGAGTATTTAGTATGACTTTTGGCTTCAAAATGGGTATCTGTTTTCAATATCTAAAGTGTGTGTGGTTTTGTTTTTTAGAGCTTCTTTTATTCACGTAAGAATTTCATGAAGCCTTCCCACCAGGAGTACCCACATAGGAATTTCCAGGAAGAAGTAGARTTTCTTAATGAAATTTTCCCAAGTAAGTGTGTGAAACTTCAGTGCGTAGCTGTGTTAAGGGTTTGTGTGAAGCCAGAAGAGACAAGCAGTGCACTGTACGTTCTGAGTGCGAAGCCACCCAACAGTCCTTAGGAGCTTCACAGCTAACACAGTTTTCAGCAGCATAAGAATGAAAAGCTATATGTAGTTTTCTGCATTTTGACACTTTTGTCAAGATGAAACTTTACATAATAAAATRAACACAATCCGTTGACAGAGGTAGTAGTCTGTGCAATTCTATTCTATGTAGTAAATAAGAGTCCAGTGGAATTCTCAGGATCACTGTACTAAATGGCAAATTTATATAATAATAATAATAAAAAACTTCTAAAACTAAATTTCCTGGAAAAAAAAATCTCTGAAATAATATAAAAATTGAAGTAATCTGACATACTTGAAATCTTAAATAGATGCTTGCTGAAATTCCTAAATGGATGCTTGAGTTTCTGAGGTGCTAGGATTTCCATCTGTGTAGTTAAAGCTGTCTTCTGAATGTCTTCATGGTGGGAGCTGAGTTGGGATAACGGTTTAAGTTAAATACCTGCTTACTTGGTACAGATATTAACTGTATCAGTGAACCTCTTAAAATGTTCTGTGCATGATTTGCACTGTCTCTGTGTAAAAGATTGACCTTATATTTAAAGAGTCAGCTGTGGTGTATTAACTTTAGACCTTTTTGTCTTAACTAGATGGAGCAGCTTATTGCATGGGACGTATGAATTCTGATTGCTGGTATGTATGTGAGGACTTTGAAGGTTTTGGGCCATACAGTGCAGCTTAGCCTGCTGCTGCTAATATTTATTACAGAAGTGACTTGTGCTTTCTGTAGGTACCTGTACACCCTGGATTTCCCAGAGAGTCGGATATCCAGTCAGCCTGATCAGACACTGGAAATTCTGATGAGTGAGCTTGACCCAGTAGTTATGGACCAGTTCTACATGAAAGATGGTGTTACTGCAAATGATGTCACTCGTGTATGTTTGCTTGAAAACTAAGTATTTTGGGGGTGGTGGATATTGGGCAAGTAAATGCCTCACTTAGCTTTTAATRTAAGTTTTATTTTGTGGCAGAAAAGACTTAATAAAGAGTCAGATTCCCATTTTGGAGTTTTGGGGGATAAAATGTGCTTGACTTTAGAAGACTGGGGGAAATAAAAGTTCGCTTTTATTGTGTTAGTGCTCTAACTTGTTGAGATGAACAATGCTTTATTGAGTGAGTGTTTTCTCTTCTGGAAAATGGAGGAGCAGTAATTCAGTCATTTTAGTAGTTTCCATAGAAAGATGGATATTACAAGAAGTAAGGCTTATACAGAGGATAACTTTATTCCTTTAGCATTCATTATCAAATTGATGGTTAAATCATTTTGATGGTTAAATCACTTTGTAGGGGAAATGTAGTTTAGTTGTCAGGGGGAWATTAAGGTATAATCAGAACTTGACAAGCCCATCTTTGTCTCCTTTCCTCACAAACTTCATAGAAGCTTGTTCTATGTGAACACATCTCACTGACAAGTACAGTGACACTTTCTGTTTACTGCTCGGTGCTTTGATTCTCCCTGCTGTACTTGCTGTAAAGCTTTGGCTGTAGCTCAAGTACTGTATGGGAAATCAAAATGTTTGGAATTGCTCTTAAGAGTATGCTTGGAATTACTCTTCAGCGAATAAGGAAGTCTGCTCATGCTTTATAGCAAATGTAAACAGCCTTCATTCATCTTATGGACAATGGTTGTACAGAAGCTGTCTCTGACTTCAGTTGCAAGAACARTTATGCAGTAGAAACTCCCATCTGTGCTCTCTAGAGAATTTACAGTCTGCTTCTGGACCAGATAGTGAAGTGTCTGGTAACCAACAGAACTGAGCACTCAGTCACTGGTGTAAGTGGCAGGATGCCAAGCTTATTTAGCTTATTTAGTGGTACAAATTGATACCAACTGACTTCCCTCCTATCAAAAGAAATCTGATGTCCCGTCTCTTAAGTCTGTGTTCGTTCTGTCTTTGAGATGACTGTAGACATAAGTGCAAGGACTCATGACAAATATAGTGCTATAATTTTAACTTCTCTTTCAGATGAGTGGAATTCGTGACCTGATACCAGGTTCTGTTATTGATGCTACAATGTTCAATCCTTGTGGGTATTCAATGAATGGGATGAAATCGGATGTAAGTTCTACACTTACTGAATATTTGTTTTAAATTTAAAATACATGTAATTATTGGTGCTAACAATCTTTTTTCTTTTTTTTCTTTCTTTTTTTTTTTTCAGGGAACTTATTGGACTATTCACATCACTCCAGAACCAGAGTTTTCTTATGTTAGTTTTGAAACAAACATAAGTCAAACCTCTTACGATGATCTGATTAGAAAAGTTGTAGAGGTTTTCAAGCCAGGAAAATTTGTGACAACCCTCTTTGTTAACCAGGTGAGTTTTCAGTTAGGCAGAAAGTCAGCATGTCGTCTCCTGAAGTCAGGTTTGCAAGTAGACAAATGAACGATGAAGATTATTCTCAATTGGGTTTCAAGTTTTTCTTGTTGCCTCTTGTTTTCTTGCTTGCCTCTAAATTTGAGTGATAGCTACTTGGGAATGTGAGTGTTTTGGGCTGATGTCAGGAAAAGCTGAAAATACTAAGATAGACTAACTTCATAGAAAGTCATTGAAAGTCATTGGAATGTTTGTATAGGCATCGGTTCCTTGCCTTTTCCTGATCTGRCCACAGCTGTCAGTTGTAGAAGCTTGACTGGTAATGCTGATGCTACCAGCCAAAAACGGATAGAAAAGCAGTAGAGTAGTTAAAGAGCTTACAGCGCTTGGGATTGAAACCTCCTGCAAGGTTTCCTCCTTGCAAACCTCTTACTTTCATGCAAGAATTTGGAGCATGTTATTAACAGTAGCGCCCCCCTCCCCCCMAAAGTACCTAAGAAGTGTTTATTGCATTAGTCTATCTATGTCTTAATGCTAAGCTTAAACTTAAACTTCACTTSTTTTCTAGAGCTCTAAGTGTCGTACAGTGTTTTCTTCTGCCCAGAAGATTGAAGGGTTTAAACGTCTTGATCACCAGATTGCCCAATTCAGTGATTACAACTTTGTTTTTACCAGTTTCACGAAGAATCGCCAGCAACAGCACAGTTGATTAAGAATGAAGAAAAAACGCAAAAGGAGATCCCATAGAGGAGGTGGTGGTTGCTTTCTAGTTGATGATTCGGGGGGCCAYGCTTTCCACTCCCACCACCTTGTAGTTGTGGAAAGCCCTAGGTGTAATCATAGTATAACCATTTTGAATTGTATGCATTATTATATCCAGGAGTTAGATATCTTGCATGAATGCTCTCTTCTGTGTTTAGATACTCTATGCCACTCTTGCTGTGAAATTGAAGTGCATGTAGAAAAATCTTACTGTATGAAACTTTACAACACATGTAAAAATGATTCAGGTAGAATTAAACACAGCATAGTTTTTCTCCAGGTATCACCAAAAATTCCCCACAGACAAGGCTTTCGTCCTCATTAGATTTTCAGCCTCAACCTACTTGCTGGGACAGTTCAGTTAAATTGTCACCAGTGTTTTTCATCTATAGTGTGATTTCAGTCTAAAACAGTTTTTGACAAACTTGTATGATGATTTCTAATGAAACTGATTCCTAATTCACACTTTCATGGTTGGAGAAAATTCTTTCACTTACTACAGTTAGAAATTGTTTTGCTTCTACAGGTGGTTTATTTTTTTTTTTAATCACTGACTTTTTTCGTGCTCTTACCAAGCTTCCAGGAGTTTGTTCAGCTGTGCTGTAGCACTGGGCAAATGCATCAGCCTTTCACCCTTCAACTCGGGTATAGTTGCTCATGCAGGTTAAACTTCATCTTAGCTTAATGCTCATTTCTCTGTCCGCACCCCCCAAGCTGTTGCGTTGCTAACAATGGCAGAATTTGAAGAAGGTCCAAGACTTGAAAGGGGAGAGCTGAGTCAGGGCACAAGTGCTTTGGCATTGTTGTGTGGCAGCTTTGCAAAGTGCAAATTCATATTGGCACCAAACATCTTTCCTAGGCACCATTTATGTTTTCTCTCTCTCTCTCTCTCTCTCACACACACACACACACACACAGACACACACACACACACACACACACACACACGGTACTCTTATGTGCTGGCAGGTAGGTCTAGCAAGAGTGCAGTTTGCCAGGCTGGATAGGTTGAGTGTGTTGATTCTTCTCAGTCAAACTTACAAATTGCCACTTCTAACTGTAAAAAGACTGCTTCTAAACTGGTCCAGTGTCACTTCATTTGTTGTTCCAAGCAAAGCTAATGCCTCTATCTTGTGACAGTCTTGTGACATTGTTGTGCATGTGACTTACGTTGTATTCGAGTATTGTGACTTCATCTGTTTTTTCCTCCTAATTACTGCAGTGGTTCCTCTTACTGTGACTTGAGGGCATTAAGTGCAGGTGTAGAACACAAACTGTCTGGGACACCTGGGCAGAAGTGAAGTAGAATGCTATTCATAGAACATGAATGTGTGATTCAGAGTCACTTTAATGGGTATTGACTAAAATGCAGGCTTAGCTGAAAGTTTGCCAGCTCTTCTATGTTTGCCAATACTGGGGGATTTTAACAGCTGTGAGACCAGCAAGTTGGTAACTATAAAACTGAGATTTTCTTCCTCTTGTCCTTGCAACGTTTTGACTCTCTCTGGGTTGACGCAGTGGTTGTTTTGTTCCTTCCGTATTTATAAATGAAGCACTTTTTCAGTGCTTCTAAACTAAAGTCTGCTTGGTTAGAAATCAAGTGGTTGGAACATTTTTGATTTTTTTTAAGCATATTGTTGATTGAAGTTCTTTGACAAATGTTATCAGTTATGCTGTAAACGGCACTAACGCTTTTTGGTATTAATACTGAGGACCAACATTTCAGTGATTTTTGTTCTTAAACAGTGTCCCAACTGATCCAACATTTGTTGGCTTGAGGTCCTTTAAGCAGACTGAAGATCCCTTTCCAAGTAATACTGAAAAATACACATTTATAAATAGAAGCATAAGCCTCGGCTATAAAATGAAAGCTGTTGGATGGATTGAACTATCAAGGGTGATCAGGATGGGGGGAGTATGGTGTTTATAATTCTGTGATGTTAGACTTTGATCATTTAAAAATCTGTACCACAAATTAATGCTTCAATAAAAGTTTGCTTCAATTGTTTGATCTAGCAATTTTACCTCTCGCTCTTTGTACAACAAATTTAATTCTGAATTAGATCTAGGTATTCTTTGACTAAAAGTACTTCTGTAACTAAAGTTGCTTTGCCTTTAAAGGGGCTGTATCTCAATTGTTAATGTACTGATAGCTTAAAATGAGACTGTGCATGAAAAGAAGCCAAATGAAAGTACAAGTTGCTTCTGAGGCAGAAAATATTTGTCTAAATGAATACCCACAGGAAATACTGAGATCTGCTGTGTCTTTAAGCTGGTATTTTTCCCTGGCATTAAACACTTCAAATATTCARTTAAGACAACCTTTTCTTCTACAGGTTGCATACCAAACTGGTGTGCATGTATGTGTGGAACCAAAGGTTAGACTGAATTAGTTCAAGTCTTGGGCAGGCTTGCTTCAGTACTACACAGCCTGACCACACGCTCCCCTGGAAGCTGCTGGTTGAGTCTCAGTGCAGATGCAGCCAACACAACTGAAGCTTCCTAAATCCCTTAGGAACAGTCTGTAGAAACAGCTGATTCTGCTGAACGGTACTGACAGAGCAGATGCTCCCCCAGATCACGTAAGTAGGGGTGCTTGTGGAACAGCGTTAAAGGCCTCTCTTGCTGTTACTGCTTTCCTGAATCCACACTGCACATTCCAGCCAGGACCACTTCTGCAGTGCTAGATCTCTGAAATTCTCCTCTGGGTCCTCATGGGTGGCCCCTAGGTGCTTTGGGTCTGCCACAGCTATTGGAAAAGTCCAACTGAGGTTTCTAGTAAGAAATTCCAGCAGTGACAAGGTCTTGTCAGAGTTAAACTACTTTCAGCGGCAGCTTTCACCAAACTGAAGGTTATCTTTAGGCTGTACGGACTCATCCTTAATGTGATGTTTTCTGTTTATAATAACTTTTCCTGAAAGAGCCAGACAGTAAAATTACTTGGCTCRAAGTATTGTAATGTTTACATTTCTCACCACTTTCTTGTGAATAGTGCTGGTAACACAGCAGAATAGGACTTTTGGGTTATTCCACAATGCAAATGAGAGTAAAAAGGCAAAACTCTAGTCAGTATCTATCTGTATTTTTGATAGTGCTGTGGAAGAAAGGCTCCATGTTAATTGATTTATTTTCTTCAAGGGCAATTATCACTTAGAGAAATGGAGTAGCTATGAAAGAGAAGGGACATGGCATGGGGCACAGTGGAACACAGACAAACCAAGTTCTGGTTTTGTTCCTCTTCTTAACAGCACCTCGGATTAAGAYGGAGTGGAAAATAGAGGCTTTTGTAGGGTCATCTGTCCTTCCACGCCTGCTGCTGTAGCTCATGGGTTTGTGTRCACCTGGCTCGAGCGGTCCCTTCACCCAGACCAGGGATCATCTACCCCAAACCTCGTTAGGGTGCTTGGAGGTTGGTGGTGGCTTGGGAGGAGACCTCAGTGAGGTTGAGGGGGGCAAGTATCTTGGCTTTGGCTGTGTCCTTGGCTGACCTTGGCTGGTCTGCTCCGTTCCTGGCTTTTCCTTCTGCTGGGGTTGCTCTACCTGTGGAGGACTCCTGTGTGGTGCAGTGAGGCGATTGAGCTTACCTGTGGTTTAAGTACCRTATGCCTGGGAAGATCCATGGGCTTCCAGGGTGCTTTGTTCTYGCTCATACCTCACAGCTGAGTCTGGAGCATCCATGTCAGGAGCTGTGCTATCCCAGAAAAACGAGAGGCCTGCAGGACAACTCTAGGAAGGGGTAGTAGCTGGTGGATTCTGGTTTCTTTCTTAATGGTGCAGGATGCCTGTTGACAGGTTTTGAATGAGTGGGGATGGTTTCTGCCACCTTCTCTGTTCTTCTGGGCTTCCCAGCTGGGCTGATGTGAGCTCCTAGGCTTTCCCAGGGCCCGTTCCCAGAAGCCGGGGCACTGCAGGCTKGCGGCTTGGAACCGCTTCAGCAGAATGCATGGCCTCGGCATCRTGGTTTTTCCAGAGTTGTATGGCCAGAAGTCTTGGAAGTGGGGAAAAAGAACAAGTTCATAATACAGTCATTATAATCGGAAGCCTCCTGAAGTGTCGGAGGAGATGGATGCTTGTGGCGTAAGCCCAGAAGGAACGAGGACAGTTTAGTGATGCCCCATTTGTTTTCCCAGGAAGAGGTGGGAATGACAGTTGGGTAAGAAGGTTAATGAAAGCTGAGAAACTTCTCTGACTCAGATATGTGCAACTATAAGCAAAAGGAATCCATGAGKATGGAATGCAGGGATCCCTACAAGGTAAAGACATTCACATTTGTATATATCTATATATATACACATACATATGTATTCCTGTTTCCAATGCCTGTGCACCCACAGTGATCRGAAGAGAGGCTGTCATCCGAAAGCCGTCGGGGCTAAAGAATGTTTCCTCAAGCTTTGCTCCCTCAACTCCTAACTGCAGGCTTAATTTTGAAAGCTACCGGGGCATTAATTTGTGTTTCGTGCTGTGCAAGCACTGGTGGTGCCCTAGTCCTGTGTTATTTCCCATGCTCAYGGTTCAGGCAAGTCTTGGCTGTTCCGAGGGGATTATAAACCCTTTTTGCCCTAATCGGATCCTTGCTCTCAGTATGCGACAGGCCCCCCAGTAAGTACTGCTGGAAAGAGTACGTTTTAGCTAATTTTCAAGTTAGTAATTTAATTACCTAAGGCTTTAGGTAATTAATTAATTTCCCATCCAGCTTTCAGAACTTTCCTGCCCTGCTGCTTTTGTTTGACCTGTTATATGGAATTCCATGAACTCCAGTCTCACCTGCTGAGCATCTTCCATGGCTTCCATATCCAGACACGCAGGCTCTGGTGCGCGCGTCGCAGCGACCTCCTGAGCATTGGGCGGCGAGGGGTGGYGGGATAACCTTTCTGTTGGGTCAGGGAGCCCGTTACTCAGGTGCAGGAGCATGCAGCTTGTGCGAGATGGATGATCCTCCCACACAGGCTGGTGCTTCCCCATCTTCCATATTTTCCATGTCCGCATGAGCGGCAGCAACCGCTCCAAGTGCCGCTGCTCAAGGTGAGTTGTCTCGTGCTCAGCCTTCCCTTCGGTGGCTTTGCTGGCCAAAAATCATCCCGGCCTTGGAGCGGCTGCAAGAGCAGCTGCTTCCTGTTTATGGCTTCTTAAGCGGTTCCCTCCAAAGTAACGCCCTCGCTGAGATTTCAGCGCTGGCCTCCCCCCGATCCAAGCGTCAAGGTTTGATCTGCGCTTTGGCAGTGCAGCTCGCCTGAGCCACTGTAGCTTGAAAGCTCTAGAGAAGCCATCGCTTGTGAGAAGGGTGAAAAATAGCTGAAAGTGTCTTGTCTTCCTTGGCGTTTGTCAGCCCAGAGTGGAAAAAGAAGCATCCACGTGTGAATCGGGTTCGGAAGTTCGTTGGAATTCTGCAAACACCGAACTCTTCATCTTCTTGTTTCTGAGCTGTCRGGTTTATTTTTGCATTTGCTGCCCAGAGAAACATACCTATTTAAAACAAGGACACAGCCTGTTTCCAGAAGCTGCACAGAGAGCCTGTCCAAACATTAGGAAATTCACTGCCTGCCTTCTTGTGTTCCCAAGACCTGGCACGTGGAGGTAAAAAAGGGGGTTATACGAATCCGCCCCAATTATATGTAATCCTGTAATAGGGAATCAAATATTAATGTGTTCCTCATCATGTGTGTAGGCTTCATGAAGCAAATTGCTCTCTCTTTTAAGCTAATATATATCTGCCTAAGAATATGC